ATCCCTCGTAATACTCGACAGGATGAAATAGTGCACCTCAAGAGGGCCTTTTCTTTTTTCCAGATTTTCTTCTCTTGATGTTTGGTTTAGTGCCTCTTTTAAACACGGCCAGGACCTCAATGCTACATTAATAATAGTGCATTTGATTGGTAAATTAGGAACCAAACAATTAGTCCAATGAATAAAAGAACAGAGTCATTAGCTGATGCAACACAAACATGTGAATATAGCATATTTCCAGAAAAGAAAATCCTCATGGTAAGATAACCCAGAGAATGGATCTTTCTCTTCGTGGCAAACCCCGCAAGGCACCCCAATCCCACAATAAACTGAATAATTAGACCATCCTCAGTGGTCACCGCTCCTTTTCCTATTTTAAAATGATTGATTGGTCTCAGCATATGTACAAAGTGGATTGCAGTTTGGCTGACCCTCTTCTTCTCAACTGGGTAGGGTTGACTCAAAAGTACAACAAACAAGGCAAACTACTAAAATTAAGGGATAAGTTTCAGGAGGCATGGGAGATGGGACAATTCAAACCTTCTATTAGTTCCTCATTTTTTTTTTTTTTAAGAAGGGGGATAAAGGATTGCACCCCACAAATTCTAGAAGGCATGGGAGATGGGACGATTCAAACCTTCTATTGGCTCCCCGGTTTAGAAGGGGGATAAAGGATTTCACCCCACAAAAGGAGGCTAGAATCTAGTCCATTGACCTGGGAAGGCTCCAGTCTTGCTACTTGAACTAGGCCTTGGCTTCATTGGTCACATGAAGTGCATTTTTGGTACAGGACATGCTTGGACACTATAATGAACAAGATTTTTAGCTTCTTTTTCCTATTTAGTATTGTCCAAATCTATACGATCCTCCTTATCTAACATGCTAGAGAGAGAGAGAGAGAGAGAGAGAGAGAGGTATGAATACCTTTGTGTTCCAGGGAAAAAATTGAAGCCATGTGCTTTGTCCAAATACCAGGCCTTACAAGAGAGCAGTGACATGCAATCCTGTAAGTTAAATGGCAGCAATAGAAGCTCAAGCAGACAGTGACACTTTTGCCTAGCTAAAAATCAAACAACTGAATAAAGATTAAACTTTTTCTTTATTATTTAGCAGCTCTTTAAACTATGAGAAGTAAGGGTAAACACACCTCTTTAAAACTATCCCATCCACAACTTATATAAATTAGAGTTTCAGGCAAGGACCGACTTTCTTCTTGTACTGTGCTGCTCTTAACCTGCACTGAAGTTTCTCTCTCTCTCAGAATCCATGGTCTTTTTTCATTTTTTACCTTCCCACCGGTACTGGAATAACCA